TACGTCACCTGTGAGTGGCATGTGGAAGACACTGAGAGCTGCCGCTGACCCCCGACATGTGCACATGGGGGACAGCACCCGCTGTGGGCCCCCAGGCACAATGCGGGGACAGGGTAGATGACAATAAAAATAGCAAACATTTCCAGCTGCTGCCCATTGGCAGATGTGGCTAAATTGCTCTGAGGTTCCTCCCAGAAGGTACACGGAAGGTTGACTGTGCAAGAAGTCCCCGGCCACGCCCAAGCCCACATCCCAACCCCATTTCCTGGCTGTGTGATGAGGGAGAAAGCTCTTGCCCTATCCGAGACCTGACATCTGCTGTCAAATATGGCTGGTGTATGTCAAACACCTCACACAGAAAGTAATGAAAGAATGGTAGACATCATGATGAGGGAGGTCTTGATCAATACCTGTTGATACAAATGAGTCTGCCATACAATATTAGCAAATTATGTGCTGGGTGTGGGTGTAAGCACTTCATGTGAATTCATTCATTTAATCCTCATGTATGAAGTGCGTACTATTGTAATGTCTAATTTAAAGATGAGAAAAGTACTCTAGCTGGTTTGGCTCAGGGTTTGATTCCTGGTCAGAGCATATGCCTGGGTTGCAGGCTCGATCACCAGTGTGGAGCGTGCAGGAGGCAGCCAATCAATGATTCTCATCATTGATGTTTCTATCTCTCTCTCTCCTTCTCCCTTCCTCTCTGAGATCAATAAAAATATATTTAAAAAATAAATAAAATAAAGATGGGAAAACTAAGGATCAGGGATTTTAAGTGACTCACCCAACACCACACATCACACAGCTAGAAAATCGAGCCGGGATTTGAACCTGGACAGCCTGGCCCCCGAATCCAGGCTCTTTAACAATTTCATAAGACTGCCTGAAAAGAGCCTGAAGCTTATCTATCACCAACCAAGGGTATCATATCTTTCAAACATCCCAGCATCCCAGTGAGTAGCTATTACCATTTCCATTCCCATTTCTCACGGATGAGGAAACAGAGGTCAAGGGAGTTGCCTGGATATTCCAAAGGTGATAAGACCTCCCTCTCTCTGCAGCCCCACCTCCACCCC